TTACTTAGCTTCATTACTAAATTATTAAACTTCAATATTGATGCATGATCAAGAATTTGTTATCATCTGACATAAATCTTAAGACAATTTTATTAAAAAAAATGTTTCATATTCAAATCAAGATAATACTCGATGATACAAAAAATGGTTTGATCCAAGTGCAATCAGACCTAGATCAAGTCATTAAAGCTTTTTGGAGGTTTTCTATTCTCAATTGAATCATTAAATAAATTCCAAATTTAACATATTTATATTCAAATCGAGCGTCCATGTAAGAGGTCTCTAACAAGCCAAAGCTTTGTTAATTTTGATATCATTAAGGTTATCAAATTATTAAAACTCACTTCTATCATCATGATGAATCAATCTGAGTCGTTTGATCAGGTGGTTGGAGAAGCTATTCACTAAAGGACAAAAATACACATTCCTCATCGGTGAACCCTGCTTGATAACGTCATATCTGAAATATAACCATAACATGTGTTATCATATGGAAGATTAGAAGATAACTTCCAGCGACCACTGCATATAACCGTCACATTTAGGAAACGAAGATTCTTTTCAGACCCCTGAAGTCTATCCGTACATTGTATACGGGTTATATCTGGTGTAAAATTATAACTCTACTTTCCTAGTCATGAGAAAATAATGTCCTTTTGTATTTACCCACTTATAATGAATTATCTTGACCGAGTCAGATCCAATAGTTTTTTTTTCCTTTTCGGGGCATTCCATCTAAAAAATTACTACTTTTTTTTATTATATGTTTGTCTTGAATCTTAATGCAATGCTAAGACATTAAATAATTAATCTATCTTCGTAAATTTTTCTTAGTGCAAGCCTAGTCAACAGTTTTTCTCAAACCAATTAAATGCATCCCAAATGGTATGATAGATCAATAAAAAAAAATGCATCTTTTCATGCACACATAAGATGATATATATGCAAGAAATTATAATTTAGGTGTTAGATATGTAAATACATAAGAATTGAGTGGTATGTATGTAAATGTTTTAACATATAATGACAACTCAATATGACATATAATTTGCTAAAGAGTAAAAAGAACATCAATAAAATGCAAAAGAAGAGTTGAACGCACGTCGCTCCTATCTAAATATTAAATTGTATCATAATAAATAGATTTAAATTGTATCATAATAAAAAAATTAAAAATACCGCGTTAGCTTGGTACGAATATTTACTTATGTAGCTTTTTATGTTGAAATAATTCGAACTACACGTATCACTGGACTTCTAGCAAAGCAAATATTAAATAAATAAAGTCTAATGTCTAACGGGAAAGGATTTCATCAGTTTCCCAATTTGATGAATGATTATGCCAATACCTCTCAATTAAATATTGTACACATGAAAATGTGTCACACGAATCTCAAAGTAGATGGGTGACCTAGGAAGGAAGAACAACCGATTGGCTCTGGGAACTGAGCATGAATAATGCTATAGGGGTTAAAGATGGAGCCAGCTCTCGACAAAATTATAGATAAAAGACCAATCTTAAAATGGTCCTTGTAGAGGATAAGGTCGGGAAAGAAGTCACCTGTGGCCTGTTCATGGTTGTTTGCCAGTCGCAAGAGAATTGTGGGATCTAGAACGCAACGATCCTGGATCTCCTCTATGTCTGCCACAAAAAGAACTGAAACCTCTATCGCAAGAATTGAATTGAACGACTCTTGAGAGTATTTCCGAACAATGAAGTCTATTGCACTAGGAAGAGAAAAAAGGAGAAACAACATGTGAGAGAAGTGGAAAAAGAAAAAGGACGAGAGCTCAAAAAAGCAAAGTATATGATCCGTGCATATATATATATATATATATATATAAACACACGAGCTATCTAAGAAGTTGAAACGATGCCAATGGGACTGATGCAACAAAATTACACGTTGCCTAAGTAAATAATCATCATGAAGATTCGAAAAAAAATCTATTTCATTCCATAGTTTTGTACAAAAGAGAGGGACCTCAACCCTCGGTTACATTAGGGTAAGGAAAAGTCAGGCCAGACGGTGGTTCTCGGCTTTGCCCTTGACAAAACCTCAATGTTGAAGTCGTTCGAACATGAACTCACTGCCCAACCTGAAAAGGTCCTTCTGACTATCCCTGGGCTGAAAGCCGAAGGCCTAGCTAACAACCAATATTTTTTAGTATAAGTGGGTAACCTCCCCTCTGCTACCAAACAACTTACCCACACCCCGAAAAGCTGTGTGCTCCTCACGCAACCTCGTGATTTCTCTCTCCACTTGCTCGATCCTCTCGAGGACCTCGGTGACCCTTCCGTCACCTTCTCCTTGAGGGTACCCCATGAAGCGGAGGAAGCGTTCCTCCATCTCCGCGAGCGGAAGAGTATAAACTCTGAGGACACACGACGCCCTCGGGTCGCCTCCTCATCCATCACAGCTCTGGAGAGGGCATGCAGGTTGTCGCCCTCAGCTCCAGCATCCAGACCTTCGACACCCCGCTCGGCACCTTGCTCCAGTGCGCTGAGCCCGCCAAGTCACCTTCCTTGTCAACCCGTATCGTGCTCACCCGCTGAACCTCAACTAGGTCCACCACCGTTGCATCATCTTTGGGTCCCACAATAATATCTATCGATAAAGAATCAACAGTCAAGACCCCAATCACTAAAAAGAAAGGAATAAAAAGGCTAATTAAATTACATATTAAGGATCCACCCCCAATAAGACGAGATCTTCACCCGCTTTTTTTGGTCCTCCACCTTCCGAGGAGAAGATGCTCCTAGCTTGGCGGAGCCACGTCTCAGCCTCAGCTACCGTCTCCTGAGCACTTCCCTAGGGATCATGACCCCCACTGCCTCCTGGGCAGGTAGTCTCTTTCCCACTGGTGAAACACTCATCCCGGGTGAACGCCCCGCAGGAGGGGCGTCTGGACTTTCTCTCACTTTACCAGCAACCCTCTCCTAAGGAGGGACCACAAGGAAACCAGAAGAGACGGGCCGAGTCTCACGATCGGTGGCTCCGTGCTTAGATACAACCAACTTCTTACTCAATCTTTTGGCAGAAACCTCACATCCAACTTGCGCTTCACATCCAGCTTGTGGGTTTTCCCCTGCATGTCACTCATCGCCTTGTAGATCACGCTCTTGTTAGAAGGTGGGACTCTTTCGCTAGACATCGCGAAAAACATGTAGTGGGGAAGACAAGAAATAAAGGAATCTAAAGGCACTGAAGTGGTGCAAACTTCATTTGCACCAAAGCCTATATTTATAATAGTTTGGGCATAGAAATACAGAAAAGTCCATTATTACACAATAATATCATTTTTTTATTTATTCATTTATGTATACGTGATTAAAAAATTCTCTTGTCCTCCTGTGCTAGACAGCTTCCGAGAAGTCAGAAAATCGGGAAACTAAATATGTACGCATTAAAATACATCCACACGAATCTCAAAGCAGATGTGCAACCTAGGAATGAAGAACAACCAACCAGGCGTAACAAAAAATGATCGTTTCAAGTGAGCAGCGACGGAGAAAACACCTTAGCCGAATGATTGACAGAAGATAACAAAAGGAAGTCCCTCAGGACGATCATCAGCCTTTAGAATGATCGATGGGGGGCCTCTTTGGGACCATGAATCGATCGGACCAAGACTTGCCAGAAGATTAGCTAACCTTATCGATCGAATGTCCCTGGTCTTTTTATACACAAATAATCATATAAATTACCAAAAAGCCTCCCTAAAATGTTAGTGATTATGGGGCTATTTTATACTTTTGTAGTATTGTGACCTAGACCTATAAATAGGAATCCATATTATGAAGAAATGATATTCTTTTGCTTGTCTACTACCACTTCTTCACACTTTCTCTCTCTCTCTCTCCTCTCCCTCTTTCTGTCAATTGCTAACGTTCCATTCCTTCGATGTGTTTCCCGGACAATCTTGGATTTAACAAATATTATTAATTTATCTATTATATTACATGGTAAAGCTTAACAAATGTTTTAAAATTCTCATAATTGATACTAAAAAAAAGATGTTAGGTATCACAACTAGAATCTACATCAAAACATACATATTTTGTTACAGTGAATAAATCAGTATACTTCTGTAAATATTGAAACATACGCTTGTTGTTTTGTCCGTCATATTATCAAATTGTGATTTGTATACGAATTAAAATGAATTTTAAGAGTAAGTAGAAGAATCAAAATAAACCCAAATAAACTGTCTAGTTTTCCCATTAATATATATATGCTGAATTTTTTTAGGACGAAGCGTCCTGTATCGCTCTTGAGTACATACGATTCGATAAAGACCCGGCATTGAAGAGAGAGATAAATGTGGGGTTCGACAGAAGGTCTCAAAGATTGTATATTTAGCTCGAACCTTCATTAAGTCGGAAAATTAGCTCATGTTTGAATTAATCTTATGATAGCACTTATTATCAAAACCAAAAATCAAACTTTAAAATATAAAATCGGTCTGCCCCATTGTCCAATAATGGGCTGCTCATAATTAGAATTGACGATGAATAAGACTTCAGATATGAATCACACACGAAAAAAATCTTTCTGTCGGTGTCACATGTAAATCATTAATCACATTCGGGAAGGGGAATTATTAATAGACCGCATTATTGTCATTGGTGTATCATGAAAAATATTCATCAGCTATTGGTTTGAAATGCTGTTCGCTGCTAATCTACATTCAGGTAAAAAGTTATTGAAAAGAAAAAACCTCAATTATGTTTATCAAAACTCGATCAAGATAATCATTATATTTATCTTCAACCGTTTCAATTAATTAAGATTTACATGACATCTCAAATAAAAGTTTCAGTCCCATCCCAATAACAAATCTTTCTCCAAAAACATGTAGCCTTTCAACGGTTTCTATTTTTGAATCCCTCCGGCGTCCGGGGTATATTCATAAATATAAAGTTTGATAGGGACGTCAAACTAAAAGAATAAAATCCCAACACCACACCAGCCATCAGCAGACCAACCCCAACTTGCCTACCAATGTAGAGAATTAAAAACCAACTTATCCAACACACGCCTTCCTCGTTCCAGCTCCAAAATTCCTGGGAATTATTTCCACCCCTTCCAATCAAAATCCAACAGGTTAACACGTTCTTTTTCTTCTTCTTCTTCTTTGTCTATCTTAAAATCAACCAATGTTTTTCTTAATCTTTTCATGTCAATCCATATATCCACTTTCACCCTGAAACAATTATTCAAACAAACATTTTATATATATACCCACCCCTCCAATCCCTCTTCCCTCCTCATTAATCTCGCATCTCATATCCAAAATCAGAGTCATCATTATAACTATGAACACCCATGATCCCGAGTCCTCCCACTCCCCCCTCCTTCCTCCACCACCGCCGACTCATCTCCGTCGCTACCTCCCGATTCTCCTCTACCTCGCCGCCATCCTCACCTTCACCATCCTTCTCAGCCAAACCACCCGACCCTCCTCCCCTCCAGCCCCGCTCCCAATCTCTCGAGGTCCAACCGCCGGCGTCTCAGAGAAATCGACTTCCCACCTCCTTACCTCCTCCTCCGCCGCGGCGGCCTACCCATGGACCAACACCATGCTTGCCTTCCAACGCACCGCCTTCCATTTCCAGCCCGAAAAGAACTGGATGAATGGTACTCATGGCTCCCTCCTTCCTCTCATTATCTCTTCAATTCTCCCATGCTTTTCATCAAACGTAACTCTCATCATTTCCAATTACTAACAACTTTATTAATTAATTTCTGTGTCTCGGTTTCTTCTGCTCTGCTCTGCTCCAGACCCTAACGGTATGCAGCTAATCGCAATCCATTTCCTTCCATTCGACTAAATCAGCACATATTATCTCTTAATTAGTTCGCTCTGCTACAAACAGGTCCGCTATTCTACAAAGGTTGGTACCATCTCTTCTACCAATACAACCCAGACTCAGCCGTATGGGGAAATATTACCTGGGGACACGCTGTCTCCCACGACCTCATAAACTGGCTCCACCTACCCCTCGCAATGAAACCCGACCGTTGGTACGATATCAACGGCGTCTGGTCCGGTTCCGCTACCTTCCTCCCCGACGGCCGGCTCATCATACTCTACACCGGTTCAACCCACAACTCCACCCAAGTCCAAAACCTCGCCCACCCAGCTGACCCCGACGACCCTCTTTTAATCCATTGGGTCAAATCCGATTCCCTCAACCCGGTTCTCGTCCCACCGGCCGGCGTTTACTATAAAGACTTCCGCGACCCGACCACCGCTTGGTTCAACTCCGAATCGGGCTTATGGTACTTCGCCATCGGGTCGAAGAACGATAACGCTGGTCATGCCGGCGCGGCGCTCGTTTATTCAACGCGGGACTTCGTGGAGTACGAGCTGGTGCCCGGTTTGCTGCGAACCGTGGAGGGAACGGGCATGTGGGAGTGTGTGGATTTTTATCCGGTTCATATTGACGAGGCAGTCGGGCTCGACACGTCGGTCGGGTCTGGGCCGGCGGTTCGACACGTGCTAAAGGCTAGCCTCGACGATGAGAAACATGATTATTATGCGATCGGACGATACTTTGGGGTGAACAACTCGTGGGTACCGGATGACCCAGAGTTTGATGTGGGCGTCGGGTTGCGGCTTGATTATGGGAAATATTATGCGTCCAAGACGTTCTACGATCAAAATAAGGGCCGGCGGGTGTTGTGGGGTTGGACCGGTGAGACCGATAGTGAGCAGGCCGATTTGCTCAAGGGCTGGGCTTCTATTCAGGTAACCTTTGAAATAAGTAAATAAATAAATATATATATATATATATATATTGTTTGTGTGTACAATTGGTGGATAAAACTAAGATTTACGTATATTTTTGCATTGTTAGGGAGATGGATAAATATTCTGTCATACTATTTTTTTTATGGTCGGATGGGTACCAATAGATTTACGTAGGGGTAAATTTTGGGCAAGAGGATTGGATTCTAATTTAAATCGAAAATGATCTACCTTCAACCCACCAACATATACCCGATCAGTATAACCCGTTTAACATAAGAAATAATTACTATTTGGGTTAAAATTGAATAAATGTCAAGCAAAGTTCGAGTCCATTTTGGGTTAAATTTGATTTGGCAAGTTAATTTCAAGTCAGCTAGTCGATTTTAAGTCAATTTAAGTTTGATCAGCCATTTTTTGGGTCGTCGAATCCGACCCACAAAACTAAACCGGTTAAGATCTTTAACTTAACCTGACTCAAAATTACTTAGGTCAACACGAATTCAGATTTTTCGAGTCGATTTGGGGTAAAATTAATGTGACAGGCCAATTTTTGACACTCATTATTTTACAATCTCCATCTAGTAATTTTTTTATCACTTTTAACTTTTTTCTTCCTTTGACGGCTAAGCGTATCTTTTGAAGTTGCAAGGAAATTGCCATTGGATCATTTAAAAATTTTTTTATACTGAAAGGAGAATAATTAAAATAAAATTTCTATGCATATTGCATAATTTATATGCAATTTCATATCTAATATCTAAAAATTATTTCTTTTTTTATAATAACATTATAATATATATTTAAGTTTTAAAAAGTTAATCTCACAAAAAGTTTTGATGTGATTTTAAAAAATACCGTCGTGTGTGTATATATATATATATGTATATAAATTTAAATTGAAGTATTAAATATAAAGAACTATAATAATAAATTGCCAAAATTCAAACATTGACATGATGACAACAACGGGACTGTGGGAGATCAGGAAATGTTGAGTATAAATTTATAATGGAGTTAAATGGTGACTTGTACGTTTAGGCGATTGGCTTCACGATTCCAATGTGTAACTATCAAAAATCTTTTTTTTAAATTGATTTGTTTCCTTCAAGCAATTAATAAAAAGCTCTTTCAAATTTTTATCTTGATAAAAATTAAAAAAAAATGGGCTTGAAAAACTTAATTTTTTTTTTAGATTTACCGTAGTCTACATTTCTTAATTATATGAATATTAATCTGAAAGCCTATCGCATAACTCTTAAGGCTATGCTTTATAGCATAATTAATATCAAGAAATTATAATTATGAAGTTTTCTGAGCTAAATTAAATGATTAGAGCTGTTAAACCATTAATGCAGACAATCCCAAGGACGGTGCTGTTCGATACGAAGACAGGCAAAAACCTTCTGTTATGGCCAGTGGAAGAGGTGAATAGCCTCAGATCCAGCAGCGATAACTTCACCAACTTACAGCTCGCCGCCGGCTCAGTGAAACCTCTGGAGATCACCGGCGCCGCCACCCAGGTGCGTACCTCCACCTCTCCCTCCCTTATTATAAGATTAAATGTCAACAAATAATTAAAGACTTAGATAATAATTTTGTTTTTGTTATTTATTTTTTCGAAATTACTTAACCTTAGATTACTGATTAACCAACACAAGAAACAATTGGTTTTGTAGTGACCTTAATTATGTAAATTAAATTCAATTTTTCATAATTTTCTTGCTAAAAAATATAAGAGAGATGATTTTCACAGTGCCATAATTAGAGCATAACATTTCTTAAATCATAAAAAATATTACATTAGGACTTCTGATACATTCAAATTCTAATAATAGGGCGTCACGTGTTAAGTTTGTGTGACCCACTTGACATATGGTGCCTCACCATTGTACTCCGAATCCTGATGTAATATTTTCTTTTTAAATCATGATGATTAGTCGCATTCTATGTACATAGCTAACTCTTCGTCGCATTGTATGTAAATCAGTTGGACATAACGGCCGAATTTGAGATTGACAGCTCGTCGTTGGAAGCAGTGATTGAAGCCGACGTGAGCTACAACTGCAGCACGAGCGGGGGAGCCGCCGGCCGGAGCGCTCTCGGTCCGTTCGGGCTGCTGGTTTTGGCCGACTTTGAGCGAACTGAACAAACCGCCGTTTATTTCTACGTGCGGAGAGGGACCGACGGCCTTCTCCAGACTCACTTCTGCCATGACGAGCTCAGGCATGCGAGCGTGTTCACTGAATATCTTACCGTCAATTATTCTCGGTAGATTAAATATAGCTGAAAATCTTACTGTGCAGGTCTTCGAAGGCCAACGACATCGTGAAGAGAATATACGGTAGCACGGTTCCTGTACTCCATGGTGAAACTTTGTCTGTCAGAATACTGGTATATTTATATTATATATATATTTTTGGGAATTTATCCACATATATATTATCAAATTCCAATTTATTTATATATTTAACTTTCATATTTATATCACACGATAAAAACCACTATTTTGATTTTTAAAAGATGAAATACACTTTTCCATATGTGACATGTATTTAAAAATTAAAGTTTAGATGTTATAAATGTAAATAAGTATAGATTTTTATAATTTTTTTATGTAAATACATAAAAATTGAGTGATATGTATGTAAAAATGTAATCTTTCTTTTGTTTTAATTAACTTCCCCTTTGAACAAAAAAAAAAAATGTATGAATGTTTTTATCTAAATAGCTAAACTCTTGATGAATGATAAGGAATTACAATTTTAAGAGAATGGGATTAAAAAATAAAAGAAGTATTAAAATAAATCAATTTTTGTGGCTACAAACTGATGTTTAGTGTCATTAGTTATTAAAATAAAGCAGTATTTTCTCTAAAATTTGTTATTAGAGGTTTAATTAAAATTTGATTAAAATGGATAAAAAAATCATTAGAGATTTATTTTAAGATGAATGAATTAATCAGTATAGCTGAGCTAAGTATGTCTTGGAATGGACTTGGCTTGACAATATCATAAGTTGTTCGTGTTTGGCTAGTGCTTGAGCTAAGCTTTCACATGTATGTTCATATTTGAGTTGGTTTAAATCTTAAAAAATTAACTGTATTTTGTTTGTATTTGATTTATTTATATTAATTGAAGAAGGGTTACTTCAAATGAATTTGCAAACAAATTAAAATTTAAATGAAAAAGAAATATTTGAATGAATTTTAAATTAGTATCTAAATCGTTTATAATGTTAAATAAGATAACAATGAGATACTAGTAAGCATTTTAGTAATCGAATAATATATATTAAATGAATGCTAACAAGTTCTTTCATTAAAATAAAAATGAAAAAAAAATTTGTATTAAATCATGATACATATTGATATTAATTACTATATGCTACTATTAAATATATAATTAAATAAATTATAGTTGATCAATATTTATTTAAAAAATATTTAATAAAGAATATAAACTATCATCAAATTCATAATAGAGCATTTAAGAAATTACTTGTTCAATAATAAAAAAAATTGTTCTTAAATATAAATAAATTATTTTGAATGTATTTAAATTTGATTCAATTAGCATTCATGCTTTTAAAAAATATTTAAATTTATTTATTTACTAATATGAATAAATTTAATTAATAAAACTGTGCATCGTTTCATTTGCAACCCTAATAATAAATACAAAATGATTGTTGTGATCATGAAGTAATTAAAAACTCCTGATTATTGCTGCATTATTAGTGAACAAATACATCTAACGACAATAATTAATATGCGGTTCCCAGGTTGATCACTCCATTGTTGAGAGTTTTGCACAAGGAGGGAGAACCTGCATCACGTCTAGGGTTTATCCAACAGCGGCGATCGACGGTGCAGCAAAGCTTTTCCTCTTCAATAATGCTACAGGTGCAACTATCACAGCCAAATCACTCACCGTATGGAAGATGAGACCAGCTGTGATGCGCTTATTTCAGTCAGACATATAGTCATATTATACGTACATATTTTTTCCAATAAATTCAATGTATCTTAATATATATATATATGTATATATATATATATAT